TTGGGGGGGGGGTATTTTTATTTTCTTTTTGTTTGTTTTATTTTTTTTATATAAATATTTTCATGGCGTACTGCTTTGTCGAGTTCTTTTATCCTGGTGCCCCGAATGGATAAATTTAAGCGTTCTACTCGACTAGGATCTAGGTTTCGCCCTTTTACTGTTTAAATAGTTAAGCATAACCGCCAATTCTACCCCAGCAGCTTCTTTTTTCTCGCACTTCCCGTCTGTGGAGCCCCCGTTCTGTTTACTTGCTTCCCTGATAACTAGAATCTTCAAAAATTGAAATGCAACGTCAATCGCCATCTTCTGATGTCTGGAAGCCCGTTCATCTTTTATCCTTTCCTCTGATACAGAGTTTGTTTTTTTTTTCTCTCTCTCAACTTCACTCTATGCCACCCCCCTGCGAACAAGTGACTCTCCCGCGTTTGATTGGGGTGAAATGCTTAAAAAAAATGATGCTTTGCGAAACAAACTTCCGGTAGGATGTTTTTGCAATTACTACAATCTTCAAGTTTACATTTAACCGTTATCTTTCTTACATGCGTTTTGTTATGCTTATACAACGCCACAATAAGCGTATGCCCAGAGTGGCTCTTGTAGGGCTCTTAGTAGTATATATATATATATATATATATATATATATATATATATATATATATATATATATAAATACATTACATAGTTGCTCAGTACTCGGTTCTTTGTTTCCAAAATCATTTCCCGATCTTAATATTTTCATATTTAGCAAAATGTTATTTACAGCTTTGTTACGCCTAGCTGCATTGATAGATGTTATTTAATCTCACGCTTCCCTCTCACATAAGAACGAACCACCCTCACTTCATTCGTTTGCCTTTCCACTCTTTCTATTTACATCTGCTTCTCTCTCCCTCTCAACTATCCTTGCCCCGACACCTCATTTCCCGTTTTTCTTTTCTTCGCCCATGAATAGTGCCATCCACTTATCGGTGTAGCATTCTATTCCGATTAAGATCTTGTTTCTATTCTGAACACCAGCAGTGCGAAAATTGCATAACCCATCAATAAACAACGATCTCCGAAATCACGCCATCTTTTCGAACCGCTGCCAACACCCGGACATCCATCTTACCCCCATATTGTTGCTTAGGCAAATCTATAGTAATTTCCTTTCTTTTACTTCTTGGAGAATCGGTTCCAATCACCACCTCCCTGCCAGTTTACCATTATATCTTGTCTTGCTGCTTCTTGATGAACGCTGCTGATTCGACGTGGTTGAAGTATTTTTTTTTTAAATAACGTTGAGCAAATCATTTTATTTTTAAGGAATAGGGCCTCGTTATTCGCCATTTTTTTTTTTCGTGCGAATGAGATTTCTTTTTTTTTTTTATACGTGGGCCTTATTCAATTTTGATGTATTTTTAAATATGTTCCTTATTTGTCTTACTTACCTGCGGAGGATTTTCATTAGAACGAAGGAAGATGCTTGTAAGAATTTTCTTTTTTCATTCCCGGATTAGGTCTTTTAGAGTTTTTTTTTTGTTTTTGTTTTTTTTACCTTTTCTATTCTTTGAAAGATTCCTGATAATTTCTCCCAGAATTTCTTGCACCATCTCCAATTCCATTTATCTCTCGCCTTTTTCTTGTTTCATTCTTCTTTTTCTTTCATTTTTATCTTACTTCTCTCCTATCCTGGGTATGACGATAAACTACATCCGCGTCCTGTGTAAGACGATAAACTACGTCCAACACCAAGGCCTCTGATAATATTTCGGAAAAATAATGTTGCCAACTGTACGTTTTTGAAAGAATAATGTTGCCAGCTATACGTTTTTGCAAAAATAATGTTGCCAGCTGTACCTTTCTGGAGAAATAATGTTACCAGCTATACGTTTCTGGAAAAATAATGTTAAAAAAAATGTCTTTATTCACACACACACATATATATATGTGTGTGTGTGTATATATATATATATTATTTAAATGCAATGTCACCCGCTCTTGACTGTCTTCCTGATTACTCTTTTTCTCTTTTCTACTCATTACTAATGTCTGTCCTGGGTATGACGTTAAAATGCATCCAGCAGCAAGGCTTATGATCAGGAGGTTTTGAGGAGCGTGGAACCACCTCTTAATTGCTGGTGTTCCCGGGCCCACCCTGACCTGGGTTGGTAGCACTTGTTAGGATCCCAACTATGGGCAAATAGTTAACCCCCTAACTGGAGGGTCAAAACACGATGAAAGTGTAAAAACATAGGTTTTAATACCAGAAATAATTTGTAAAAATCAATTATTACCACATAAATCTTACCAGCAACACATTTTCGATAAAAGAAAAAAAAAAACATTATCAGCTATACATTTTTTGAATAAAAAAGAAAAAAAAATACCAGCTATACATTTTATCAATAAAAAAGAAAAAAATTCCAGCTATACATTTTTTGAATAAAAAAGAAAAAAAATACCCGCTATACATTTTTTGAATAAAAAGAAAAAAAAATTACCAGCTATACATTTTTTAAATAAAGAAGAAAAAAAAAACCAGCTACAGACTTTTTGAATAAAAAAGAAAAAAATAATACTAGCTACACACTTTTTGAATAAAAAAGAAAAAAATATCTTCTATAAATTTTTTGAATAAAAAAAAAGTACCAGCTATACATTTTTTGAATAAAAAGAAAAAAAAATGCCAGCTATACATTTTTTGAATAAAAACGAAAAAACATACCAGCTATATATTTTTGGAATAAAAAAGAAAAAAAATACCAGCTACACACTTTTTGAATAAAAAAGAAAAAAATAGAAAGAAAAATACCAGCTATACATTTTTTGAATAAAAAAAATACCTGCTATACATTTTTTGAATAAAAAAAAGTACCAGCTATACATTTTTTGAATAAAAAAGAAAAAACAATACCAGCTACACACTTTTTGAATAAAAAAGAAATAATAATACCAGCTATACATTTTTTTAATAAAAATGAAAAAAAATACTAGCTATACATTTTTTGAATAAAAAAGAAACAATACCTTCTATACATTTTTTGAATAAAAAAATACCTGCTATACATTTTTTGAAGAAAAAAGAAAAAAATACCAGCGATATATATTTTAAAGAAAATTATTACCAGAAATAGATTTATTGTAGAAAAAAATATTACCAAAAATAGATTTTTTGCAAGAAAAAATATTACCAGAAATATATTTTTGAAAAAAAAAAATATAGCCAACAATAAAAATTTTGTCGGCCTTAAATAACCCATTGCGACTTATACAAAAACAAAACAAACCAAACTTATTTCTCTTTTCACTCATTCATTTTTTATTTGTTTTACATCACATTTTCTTTTTTCTTGTCGTCATTTTTTTTTTCCTTTAATATTTCATATTTTTCTTCTTTGGCGTTCATTAAATTTCCCATCGACGTAGCGTGGCATCCCTCTGTCTTTTCTACAAATATTTTCATGGCAACTGCACTGACAAGAATTTTTTTCCCCTGTTACCCCGAACACATGAAGATAAGCATGCTACTTGCAAAAAAAATGTTGCCAGCTATACGTTTTTGTAAAAAACTGCGTGCCAAATTATTATCGAGATAACTTTTTTGTAATGTTTCAAAAACCGTCCAATCAATTCACACAAAATTTTTACACAATGTTGGCAACACTGACCTGCGCAATCAATGAAATTTTCGTACTGATCTGGGAAATGCAAACAAACAGGCGCCATATTTGTTATCAGCACGGTGATTTGACCGTGCCAAATTATTAGAAAAGTGTAAGAATTTAGTGAAAAGATAGGCCGTAAAAGCAGTTTAAGTAGCACTGAAAAGAAAACTATCACCTCAGAACTCTCAAATAGCAAATCTACCCTGAAATTTTCACTGTTTGAAGATACCTCCTTATCATTTTAGAAATTACAGAAAAAACAACTCCGGGAATAAAAAATAAAATTTAGTGAGAGTGTATGTATGAGAGTGTGGGACGAATGTTAGAGTAAATGAAAGCTATAGAGAGGGGTAATAGACGAGAGAAGAACGGGAAGGTCTAAAGATGAAGGTGGTGGGGGTTGAATTTGTTTTTTCTGTTTTCTTTTTGAATTTGTAGGTCTGATGAATTGGATCATATTTACGATTCCAATGGAATAAATTATGACCATGGAATATTAGTCTTTAAGCATTTTTATTATTATTATATATATATATATATATATATATATATATATATATATATATATATATGAAATTGTTAGATGAGATGAGGATTTGACACATGCATATGTATAAATACATGTTTCGTTGAATGTTTTATTTGGTTTATCTTTTGTGTTTTACGTTTTATGTTTTATGAGCAGTTTCTTGACACACTTAAACGTAAACGATAAAGGCCCCAGAAAAAAAAACTGAATATAAAAAGAACTCACAAATTTTCACTTGTCTGTCATATTCCATGAAACAATAAAATAAGCTATGAGCGTGTGTGTATGAATGCGTGTGTGTGTGCGTACATGTGTGTGTGTGTATGTGTGTGTGTGTGCGTCCGAGCGCGCGTTTTAGTTTCCATTTTAAAATGAACCATTCTTCGTAAACAACTGGCGTTGTTATGCCAATGTCTAGTAGGACAGTCTTTGGGAATGGAATTCAACAAATCGAATAATCTTTGAAAATAGATAAATCAATATATATCCAGATATATTTTCTTTATACTTGTGTTTGCCATTTATTTTTTTTATTTTTGTCTGTATGTCCAGGTGTCCAGGTGTGTATACGTGTGAGTAGAAAAGTACAAATAAAAGAAGAAAAACCCACAGACAATAACTACATTCACATGTATATATATATATATATATATATGTGTGTGTGTGTTATGTATATTGAGGAGTGTAGAGTAGTGGACGTTAGTTAACACAGTTGAATAAATAAGGACTGTGGCTGATAGAGATTAATGACCAGACACAAAATTATAAATAACATGAAATATATAGATTTAGAGCTAGAGAGAGTGTGGGGGAAAGAAAGAAAGCTAGTTAGCTTGATAGATAGATAGATAGATAGATAGATAGATAGATAGAGAGATGGTATGGAGAAACAGAGAAAGAGCGAGGTTGTGAAAGGGAGACAAATTGATAGTATGGAGAAACAGAGAAAGAGCGAGAGTGGGAAAGGGAGACAAATAGATGGTATGGAGAAACAGAGAAAGAGCGAGATTGGGAAAAGAGAGAAATAGATGGTATGGAGACAGAGAAAAGAGCGAGATTGGGAAAAGAGATAAATAGATGGTAAAGAGAGACAGAGAAAGAGCGAGATTGTGAAAGAGAAAATAAATGGTATGGAGAAACAGAGAAAGAGAGAGATTGGGAAAGGAGAGACAATAGATGATATGGAGAAACAGAGAAAGAGCGAGATTGGGAAGAGAGATAAATGATGGTATGGAGAAACAGAGAAAGAGCGAGATTGAAAAGAGACAAATGATGATATGGAGAAACAGAGAAAGAGCGAGATTGGGAAAAGAGAGACAAATAGATGATGTATGGAGAAACAGAGAAAGAGCGAGATTGGGAAAGAGAGAGATTGGGAAAATAGATGATATGGAGAAACAGAGAAAGAGCGAGAGATTGGGAAAGAGAGAAAATAGATGGTATGGAGAAACAGAGAAAGAGCGAGATTGGGAAAGAGAGACAAATAGATGATATGGAGAAACAGAGAAAGAGCGAGATTGGGAAAGAGAGAGAAATAGATGGTATGGAGAAACAGAGAAAGAGCGAGATTGAGATTGGGAAAGGGAGACAAATAGATGGTATGGAGAAACAGAGAAAGATGGAGAAACAGAGAAAGAGAGAGAAATAGATGATATGGAGAAACAGAGAAAGAGAGATTGAAAGAGAGACAAATAGATGATATGGAGAAACAGAGAAAGAGAGATTGGGAAAGAGACAAATAGATGATATGGAGAAACAGAGAAAGAGCGAGATTGTGAAAATGAGACAAATAGATGATATGGAGAAACAGAGAAAGAGCGAGATTGTGAAAAAGAGACAAATAGATGATATGGAGAAACAGAGAAAAGCGAGATTGTGAAAAAGAGACAAATAGATGATATGGAGAAACAGAGAAAGAGCGAGATTGTGAAAAAGAGACAAATAGATGATATGGAGAAACAGAGAAAGAGCAAGATTGTGAAAAAGACAAATAGAGGTATGGAGAAACAGAGAAAGAGCGAGATTGGGAAAGAGAGACAAATAGATGATATGGAGAAACAGAGAAAAAGAGCGAGATTGAGAGAGACAAATAGATGGTATGGAGAACAGAGAAAGATGGTATTGAGAAACAGAGAAAGAGCGAGATTGTGAAAGAGAGACAAATAGATGGTATGGAGAAACAGAGAAAGAGCGAGATTGGGAAAGAGAGACAAATAGATGGTATGGAGAAACAGAGAAAGAGCGAGATTGGGAAAGAGAGACAAATAGATGATATGGAGAAACAGAGAAAGAGCGAGATTGGGGGAACAAATAGATGATATGGAGAAACAGAGAAAGATTGGGAAAGAGAGACAAATAGATGATATGGAGAAACAGAGAAAGAGCGAGATTGGGAAAGAGAGACAAATAGATGATATGGAGAAACAGAGAAAGAGCGAGATTGGGAAAGAGAGACAAATAGATGATATGGAGAAACAGAGAAAGAGCGAGATTGGGAAAAGAGACAAATAGATGATATGGAAACAAAAAGAGAGAAAAAAGAGCGAGATTGGGAAACAGAGAAAGAGAGACAAATAGATGATGGTATGGAGAAACAGAGAAAGAGCGAGATTGGGAAAAGAGAGACAAATAGATGGTATGGAGAAACAGAGAAAGAGCGAGATTGGGAAAAGAGAGAAATATAGATGGTATGGAGAAACAGAGAAAGAGCAAGATTGGGGAAAGAGAAAACAGATAGATGATTGGATGAATGAAACAGAGAAAGAGAAAGAGAGACAAATAGATGGTATGGAGAAACAGAAAGAGCGAGATTGGGAAAGAGAGAGAAATAGATGGTATGGAGAAACAGAGAAAGAGCGAGATTGGGAAAAGAGACAAATAGATGATATGGAGAAACAGAGAAAGTGCGAGATTGGGAAAGAGAGACAAATAGATGATATGGGAGAAACAGAAAAGAGCGAGATTGGGAAAGAGAGACAAATAGATGATATGGAGAAACAGAGAAAGAGCGAGATTGGGAAAGAGAGACAAATAGATGATATGGAGAAACAGAGAAAGAGCGAGATTGGGAAAGAGAGACAAATAGATGATATGGAGAAACAGAGAAAGAGCGAGATTGGGAAAGAGAGAGAAATAGATGGTATGGAGAAACAGAGAAAGAGCGAGATTGGGAAAGAGAGACAAATAGATGATATGGAGAAACAGAAACAGAGGAAAGAGAGACAAATAGATGATATGGAGAAACAGAGAAAAATAGATTGGGAAAGAGAGAAAATAGATGAAAGGAGAAACAGAGAAAGAGGAAAAAAGAGACAAATAGATGATATGGAGAAACAGAGAAAGAGCGAGATTGTGAAAAAGAGACAAATAGATGATATGGAGAAACAGAGAAAAGAAAAGAGATTGGGAAAGAGAGATTGGGAAAGAGAGACAAATAGATGATATGGAGAAACAGAGAAAAGAGCGAGATGATGGAGAAACAGAGAAAGAGCAAGATTGGGAGATGATATGGAGAAACAGAGAAAGAGCGAGATTGGGAAAAGAGAGACAAATAGATGATATGGAGAAACAGAGAAAGAGCAAGATTGGGAAAGAGAGACAAATAGATGATATGGAGAAACAGAGAAAAGAGCAAGATTGAAAAGAGAGACAAATGGGAAAGAGAAAGAGCAAATAGATGATATGGAGAAACAGAGAAAGAGCAAGATTGGGAAAGAGACAAAAGATGATATGGAGAAACAGAGAGAGAAAGAGCAAATAGATTGGGAAAGAGAGAGCAAAAGAGATGATGATATGGAGAAACAGAGAAAGAGCAAGATTGGGAAAGAGAGACAAATAGATGATATGGAGAAACAGAGAAAGAGCAAGATTGGGAAAGAGAGACAAATAGATGGTATGGAGAAACAGAGAAAAGAGCGAGATTGGGAAAGAGAGATGAATAGATGATATGGAGAACAGAGAAAGAGAGCAAGATTGGGAAAGAGAGACAAATAGATGATTGGAAACAGAAAAGAGAGACAAATAGATGATATGGAGAAACAGAGAAAGAGCAAGATTGTGGAAAAGAGACAAATAGATGAGATGGAGAAACAGAGAAACAGATTGGGAAAGAGAGACAAATAGATGATATGGAAAAAAAGAGAAAGAGCAAGATTGTGAAAAAGAGACAAATAGATGATATGGAGAAACAGAGAAAGAGCGAGATTGGGAAAGAGAGACAAATAGATGATATGGAGAAACAGAGAAAGAGCAAGATTGGGAAAGAGAGACAAATAGATGGTATGGAGAAACAGAGAAAGAGCGAGATTGTGAAAAAGAGACAAATAGATGATATGGAGAAACAGAGAAAGAGCAAGATTGGGAAAGAGAGACAAATAGATGATATGGAGAAACAGAGAAAGAGCAAGATTGTGAAAAAGAGACAAATAGATGATATGGAGAAACAGAGAAAGAGCGAGATTGGGAAAGAGAGACAAATAGATGATATGGAGAAACAGAAAAAGAGAGACAAATTGGAAAGAGATAAAGAAAGATGAGATTGGGAGAAACAGAGAAACAGAGCGAGATTGGGAAAGAGAGACAAATAGATGATATGGAGAAACAGAGAAAGAGCAAGATTGGGAAAGAGAGACAAATAGATGATATGGAGAAACAAATAGAAAAAGAGACAAATAGATGATATGGAGAAACAGAGAAAGAAAGATTGGGAGAGAAAATAGAGAATGGAGAAACAGATTGAGGAAAGAGAGACAAATAGATGATATGGAGAAACAGAGAAAGAGCGAGATTGTGAAAAAGAGACAAATAGATGATAAGGAGAAACAGAGAAAGAGCGAGATTGTGAAAAAGAGACAAATAGATGATATGGAGAAACAGAGAAAGAGCGAGATTGTGAAAAAGAGACAAATAGATGATATGGAGAAACAGAGAAAGAGCGAGATTGGGAAAGAGAGACAAATAGATGATATGGAGAAACAGAGAAAGAGCAAGATTGGGAAAGAGAGACAAATAGATGGTATGGAGAAACAGAGAAAGAGCGAGATTGGGAAAAGAGACAAATAGATGATATGGAGAAACAGAAATTGGGAAAGAGCAAGGATTGGGAAAAGAAAGACAGATGAAAAAGGGAGAAACAGAGAAAGAGCGAGATTGTGAAAAAGAGACAAATAGATGATATGGAGAAACAGAGAAAGAGCGAGATTGGGAAAGAGAGACAAATAGATGATATGGAGAAACAGAGAAAGAGCAAGATTGGGAAAAACAGAGAGACAAATAGATGATAAATGGAGAAACAGAGAAAGAGCGAGATTGGGAAAGAGAGACAAATAGATGATATGGAGAAACAGAGAAAGAGCAAGATTGATGATAAGGAGAAAAGAGAGACAAATAGATGATATGGAGAAACAGAGAAAGAGCGAGATTGGGAAAAGAGAGACAAATAGATGATATGGAGAAACAGAGAAAGAGCAAGATTGGGAAAGAGAGACAAATAGATGGTATGGAGAAACAGAGAAAGAGCGAGATTGGGAAAGAGAGACAAATAGATGGTATGGAGAAACAGAGAAAGAGCGAGATTGGGAAAGACAAATAAATGGTATGAGAAACAGAGAAAGAGCAAGATTGAAAAGAGACAAATAGATGGTAAGGAGAAACAGAGAAAGAGCAAGATTGGGAAAGAGAGACAAATAGATGATATGGAGAAACAGAGAAAGAGCGAGATTGGGAAAAGAGAGACAAATAGATGATGGGAGAAACAGAGAAAGAGCGAGATTGGGAAAGAGAGACAAATAGATGATATGGAGAAACAGAGAAAGAGCAAGATTGGGAAAAGAGAGACAAATAGATGATAGAAACAGAGAAACAGAGAAAAAAGAGACGAGATTGGGAAAGAGAGACAAAGACAAATAGATGATATGGAGGAGAAAAAGAGCAGAGGGAAAGAGACAAGATTGATATGGAAAACAGAGACAAAGACATTGGGAAAGAGAAAATAGATGATATGAGAAACAGAGAAAACAGAGCAGATTGGGAAAGAGAGACAAAGAGATATGGAGAAACAGAGAAAGACAGAGAAAGAGAGACAAATAGATGAGAAAACAGAGAAAGAGGAGATTGGGAAAAAGAGACAAATACATGATATGGAGAAACAGAGAAAGAGCAAGATTGGGAAAGAGACAAATAGATGATATGGAGAAACAGAGAAAGAGCAAGATTGGGAAAGAGAGACAAATAGATGATATGGAGAAACAGAGAAAGAGCGAGATTGGGAAAGAGAGACAAATAGATGATATGGAGAAACAGAGAAAGAGCGAGATTGGGAAAAGAGACAAATAGATGATATGGAGAAACAGAGAAAGAGCGAGATTGTGAAAAAGAGACAAATAGATGATATGGAGAAACAGAGAAAGAGCAAGATTGTGAAAATGAGACAAATAGATGATATGGAGAAACAGAGAAAGAGCGAGATTGGGAAAAGAGAGACAAATAGATGATATGGAGAAACAGAGAAAGAGCAAGATTGGGAAAGAGAGACAAATAGATGATATGGAGAAACAGAGAAAGAGCGAGATTGTGAAAAAGAGACAAATAGATGATATGGAGAAACAGAGAAAGAGCGAGATTGGGAAAGAGAGACAAATAGATGATATGGAGAAAAGAGCAGAAAAGAGAGACAAGATGGTGGGAAACAGAGAGAGATTGGGAAAGAGACAAATAGATGATATGGAGAAACAGAGAAAGAGCGAGATTGGGAAAGAGAGACAAATAGATGATATGGAGAAACAGAGAAAGAGCGAGATTGGGAAAGAGAGACAAATAGATGGTATGGAGAAACAGAGAAAGAGCAAGATTGGGAAAGAGAGACAAATAGATGATATGGAGAAACAGAGAAAGAGCGAGATTGGGAAAGAGAGACAAATAGATGATATGGAGAAACAGAGAAAGAGCAAGATTGTGAAAAAGAGACAAATAGATGATATGGAGAAACAGAGAAAGAGCGAGATTGGGAAAGAGAGACAAATAGATGATATGGAGAAACAGAGAAAGAGCAAGATTGGGAAAGAGAGACAAATAGATGGTATGGAGAAACAGAGAAAGAGCGAGATTGGGAAAGAGAGACAAATAGATGATATGGAGAAACAGAGAAAGAGCAAGATTGTGAAAAAGAGACAAATAGATGATATGGAGAAACAGAGAAAAGAGCGAGATTGGGAAAAGAGAGACAAATAGAAACAGAGAAAGAGCAAGATAAAAAGGAGAAAATAGATGATAGGAGAAACAGAGAAAGAGCAAGATTGGGAAAGAGAGACAAATAGATGATATGGAGAAACAGAGAAAACAGAAAGATTGGGAAAGAGAGACAAATAGATGATATGGAGAAACAGAGAAAGAGCAAGATTGGGAAAGGGAGACAAATAGATGATATGGAGAAACAGAGAAAGAGCAAGATTGGGAAAAAAGAGAGACAAATGGGAAAACAGAGAAAGAGCAAAAAAGAGACAATAGATGATGGAGAAACAGAGAAAGAGGAGCATTGGGAAAAGAGACAAATAGATGATATGGAGAAACAGAGAAAGAGCGAGATTGGGAAAGAGACAAATAGATGATATGGAGAAACAGAGAAAGAGCGAGATTGGGAAAAGAGACAAATAGATGATATGGAGAAACAGAGAAAAGAGCAAGATTGGGAAAAAGAGACAAATAGATGATATGGAGAAACAGAATTGGGAAAGAGAGACAAATAGATGATATGGAGAAACAGAGAAAGAGCAAGATTGGGAAAGAGAGAAATAGATGACATGGAGAAACAGAGAAAGAGCAAGATTGGGAAAGAGAGACAAATAGATGGTATGGAGAAACAGAGAAAGAGCGAGATTGGGAAAAGAGAGAAAATAGATGATATGGAGAAACAGAGAAAGAGCAAGATTGGGAAAAGAGAGACAAAGATGGTATGGGAGAAACAGAGAAAGAGCGAGAAAAAGAGATGATGATATGAGAAACAGAGAAAGAGCAAGATTGGGAAAAAGAGACAAATAGATGATATGGAGAAACAGAGAAAGAGCAAGATTGTGAAAAAGAGACAAATAGATGATATGGAGAAACAGAGAAAGAGCGAGATTGTGAAAATGAGACAAATAGATGATATGGAGAAACAGAGAAAAAGCGAGATTGTGAAAAAGAGACAAATAGATGGTATGAAGAAACAGAGAAAGAGCGAGATTGGGAAAGAGAGACAAATAGATGATATGGAGAAACAGAGAAAGAGCGAGATTGTGAAAAAGAGACAAATAGATGATATGGAGAAACAGAGAAAGAGCAAGATTGTGAAAATGAGACAAATAGATGATATGGAGAAACAGAGAAAGAGCGAGATTGTGAAAAAGAGACAAATAGATGATATGGAGAAACAGAGAAAAAGCGAGATTGTGAAAAAGAGACAAATAGATGATATGGAGAAACAGAGAGAAATTGTGAAAAAGAGACAAATAGAGATTGGAGAAACAGAGAAAGAGCGAGATTGGAGACAAGGATGATATGGAGAAACAGAAAGAGCAAGATGATATGGAGAAACAGAGAAAAGAGCAAGATTGGGAAAAGAGAGACAAATAGATGATATGGAGAAACAGAGAAAGAGCGAGATTGGAAAAGAGAGACAAATAGATGATATGGAGAAACAGAAAGAGCGAAGATTGGGAAAAGAGAGACAAATAGATGATATGGAGAAACAGAGAAAGAGCAAGATTGGGAAAGAGAGACAAATAGATGATATGGAGAAACAGAGAAAGAGCAAGATTGGGAAAAAGAGACAAATAGATGATATGGAGAAACAGAGAAAAGAGCGAGATTGTGAAAAGAGACAAATAGATGATATGGAGAAACAGAGAAAGAGAAGATTGGGAAAAGAGACAAATAGATGATATGGAGAAAAGAGAAAGAGCAAGATTGGGAAAAGAGAGACAAATAGATGATATGGAGAAACAGAGAAAGAGCAAATTGGGAAAGATGATAAATAGATGGAGAAACAGAGACAAATAGATGATATGGAGAAACAGAGAAAGAGCGAGATTGGGAAAGAGAGACAAATAGATGATATGGAGAAACAGAGAAAAAGCAAGATTGGGAAAAGAGACAAATAGATGATATGGAGAAACAGAGAAAGAGCAAGATTGGGAAAGAGAGACAAATAGATGATATGGAGAAACAGAAAAAGAGCAAGATTGGGAAAGAGAGACAAATAGATGGAGAAACAGAGAAAGAGATTGGAAAGAGAGACAAATAGATGGTATGGAGAAACAGAGAAAGAGAGATTGAAAAAGAGATGATGATATGGAGAAACAGAGAAAGAGCAAGATTGGGAAAGAGAGACAAATATGATATGAAATGGGAGAAACAGAGAAAGAGACAAATAGATTGGGAAAACAGAGAAAAATAGATGATATGGAGAAACAGAGAAAACAGAGAAAGAGCAAGATTGGGAAAAGAGAGACAAATAGATGATATGGAGAAACAGAGAAAGAGCAAGATTGGGAAAAGAGAGACAAATAGATGATATGGAAACAGAGAGAAAAGAGAAAGAGAGAAAGAGAAAAAGAAAAGCGAGAGACAAATAGATGATAAGGATGAAACAGAGAAAGAGCAAGATTAGGAAAAGAGACAAATAGATGATAAGGAGAAACAGAGAAAGAGCGAGATTGGGAAAGAGAGACAAATAGATGATATGGAGAAACAGAGAAAGAGCAAGATTGGGAAAGAGAGACAAATAGATGATGGAGAAACAGAGAAAGAGGAGATTGTGAAAAGAGACAAATAGATGATATGGAGAAACAGAGAAAGAGAGCAAGATTGGGAAAGAGAGACAAATAGATGGTATGGAGAAACAGAGAAAGAGCAAGATTGGGAAAGAGAGACAAATAGATGATATGGAGAAACAGAGAAAGAGATTGTGAAAAAAGAGACAAATAGATGATATGGAGAAACAGAGAAAAAGAGCAAGATTGGGAAAGAGAGACAAATAGATGATATGGAGAAACAGAGAAAGAGCAGATTGGGAAAGAGAGACAAATAGATGATATGGAGAAACAGAGAAAGACAAATTGGGAAAAAGAGACAAATAGATGATATGGAGAAACAGAGAAAGAGCGAGATTGGGAAAAACAGAGAAAGACAAATAGATGATATGGAGAAACAGAGAAAGAGCGAGATTGGGAAAGAGAGACAAATAGATGATATGGAGAAACAGAGAAAGAGCAAGATTGGGAAAGAGAGAAAATAGATGATATGGAGAAACAGAGAAAGAGCGAGATTGGGAAAAGAGACAAATAGATGATATGGAGAAACAGAGAAAGAGCAAGATTGGAAAAGAGAGACAAATAGATGGTATGGAGAAACAGAGAAAGAGCGAGATTGGAAAAGAAAGACAAATAGATGGTAGGACAAATAGATGATATGGGAGAAACACAGAGAAAGAGCGAGATTGGGAAAGAGAGACAAATAGATGATATGGAGAAACAGAGAAAGAGCGAGATTGGGAAAAGAGAGACAAATAGATGATATGGAGAAACAGAGAAAGAGCAAGATTGGAAAAAAGAGACAAATAGATGATATGGAGAAACAGAAAGAGAGACAAAATAGATTATGGAAAAAGAGAAAAGAGCAAATTGGGAAAAAGAGACAAATAGATGATGGAGAAACAGAGAAAAGAAAAGACAAATAGATGATATGGAGAAACAGAGAAGAGCAAATTGGGAAAAGAGAGACAACAGATGATATGGGAGAAACAGAGAAAGAGCAAAGATTGGGAAAAAGAGACAAATAGATGATATGGAGAAACAGAGAAAAGAGCAAGATTGGAGAAAAAGAAGAGACAAAAAAGATGATAAGGAGAAACAGAGAAAGAGCGAGATTGGGGAAAAAGAGACAAATAGATGATATGGAGAAACAGAGAAAGAGCAAGATTGGGAAAAAGAGACAAATAGATGATATGGAGAAACAGAGAGAAAGATTGGGAAAGGAAGATTGGAAAAAGAGACAAATAGATGGTGTAAGGAGAAACAGAGAAAGAGCGAGATTGGGAAAGAGAGACAAATAGATGATATGGAGAAACAGAAAAGAGCAAGAAAGAGAAAGAGAAACAGAGAAAGAGATTGGGAGAAAAGAGAGAAACAGAGAAAGAGAAAAAGAGACAAATAGATGATATGGAGAAACAGAGAAAAGAGCAGATTGGGAAACAGAGACAAATTGATATGGAGAAAAGAGAAAGAAAAATAGGAAAAGAGAGAAACAAATAGATGGTATGGAGAAACAGAGAAAAAGAGCAAGATTGGGAAAAAGAGACAAATAGATGATATGGAGAAACAGAGAAAGAGCGATATTGGGAAAGAGAGACAAATAGATGATATGGAGAAACAGAGAAAGAGCAAGATTGGGAAAAAGAGACAAAGAGATGATATGGAGAAACAGAGAAAGAGCGAGATTGGGAAAGAGAGACAAATAGATGATAAGGAGAAGAAACAGAGAAAGAGACAAATTGATGAAAAGAGAGACAAATAGATGATAAGGAAAGAGACAGAGAAAGGAGAAACAGAGATTGGGAAAAAAGAGACAAATAGATGATATGGAGAAACAGAGAAAGAGCAAGATTGGGAAAGAGAGACAAATAGATGATATGGGAGAAACAGAGAAAGAGCAAGATTGGGAAAGAGAGACAAATAGATGATGGAGAAACAGAGAAAGAGCAAGATTGGGGAAAGAGAGACAAATAGATGATATGGAGAAACAGAGAAAGAGCAAGATTGGGAAAGAGAGACAAATAGATGGTATGGAGAAAAAAAGAGAGATTGGGGAAAAAAGACAAATAGATGATATGGAGAAACAGAGAAAGAGGCAAGATTGGGAAAAGAGACAAATTGGGAAAAGAGCGAGATTGACAAATAGACAAATAGATGATATGGAGAACAGAGAAACAGAGAAAAGAGACAAATAGATGATTGGGAAACAGAGAAAGACAAATAAAGATAGATGATATGGAGAAACAGAGAAAGAGAGACAAATAGATGATTGGAAAAGAGAAAAATATAGAGATTGGGAAAGAGAACAGAAAGAGAGAAATTGAGAAAGAAGAGAGAAACAGAGATAAATAGATGGAGAAAACAGAGAAAGAGCGAGATTGGGAAAGAGAGACAAATAGATGATAGGGAGAAACAGAGAAAGAGCGAGATTGGGAAAGAGGATAGAAACAGAGAAACAGAAAGATTGAGATTGAAAGAGAGACAAATAGATGGTAAGGGAGAAACAGAGAAAGAGAGACACAGAGATAGGAAAAGAGACAAATAGATGATATGGAGAAACAGAGAAAGAGCAAGATTGGGGAAGAGAGACAAATAGATGATATGGAGAAACAGAGAAAGAGCAAAGATTGGGAAAGAGAGACAAATAGATGATAAGGAGAAACAGAGAAAGAGCAAGATTGGGAAAAGAGACAAATAGATGATATGAGAAACAGAGAAAGAGCGAGATTGGGAAAAGAGAGAAACAGATGAGAGAAACAGAGAGAGCGAAAGAGACAAATAGATGATATGAAGAAACAGAGAAAAGAGCAGAGGGAAAGAGAGACAAGATGATATGGAGAAACAGAGAAAGAGATGATTGGGAAAGAGACAAATAGATGGTAAGGGAGAAACAGAGAAAGAGCGAAATTGGGAAAAAGAGAGAAAAGAGAAAGATGAGATTGCAGGAGAAACAGAGAAAGGAGAAACAGAGATTGGGAAAAGAGAGACAAATAGATGATATGGAGAAACAGAGAAAGAGCGAGATTGGGAAAGAGAGACAAATAGATGGTATGGAGAAACAGAGAAAGAGCAAGATTGGGAAAGAGACAAATAGATGATATGGAAACAGAAACAGAAAAAGAGACAAGATGATATGAAACAGAGAAAAAGATGGGAAAAGAGAGAAAATAGATGAGAAAACAGAAAGAGCAAGATTGGGAAAAAGAGACAAATAGATGATATGGAGAAACAGAGAAAGAGCGAGATTGGGAAAGAGAGACAAATAGATGATATGGAGAAACAGAGAAAGAGCGAGATTGGGAAAGAGAGACAAATAGATGATATGGAGAAACAGAGAAAGAGCAAGATTGGGAAAGAGAGACAAATAGATGATATGGAGAAACAGAGAAAGAGCGAGATTGGGAAAGAGAGACAAATAGATGATATGGAGAAACAGAGAAAAGAGAAACAAAGAGAGACAAATAGATGATATGGAGAAACAGAGAAAGAGCAAGATTGGGAAAGAGAGACAAATAGATGATATGGAGAAACAGAGAAAGAGCAAGATTGGGAAAGAGAGACAAATAGATGATATGGAGAAACAGAGAAAAAGAGCAAGATTGGGAAAAGACAAATAGAGACAAAAACAGAGAAAGAGACGAGATAAAATGATGATGGAGAAACAGAGAACAGAGAAAAAGAGACAAGATGATAAGGAGAAACAGAAAAGAGCAAGATTTGGAAAAGAGACAAATAGATGATAAGGAGAAACAGAGAAAGAGCAAGATTGGGAAAAAAGAGACAAATAGATGATGGGAGAAACAGAGAAAGAGCGAGATTGGGAAAAGAGACAAATAGATGATATGGAGAAACAGAGAAAGAGCATTGGGAAAAGAGAGACAAATAGATGGGGAAAAATAGAAAGATTGGGAAAGAGAGACAAATAAAAAGATGATTAAGGGAGACAAATAGATGGTATGAGAAACAGAGAAAAAGCAAGATTGGGAAAGAGAGACAAATAGATGATATGGAGAAACAGAGAAAAAGAGAGCAAATAGAGATTGGGAAAGAGAGAGACAAATAGATGATATGGAGAAACAGAGAAAGAGCGAGATTGTGAAAAAGAGACAAATAGATGATATGGAGAAACAGAGAAAGAGCAAGATTGTGAAAAAGAGACAAATAGATGATATGGAGAAACAGAGAAAGAGCGAGATTGGGAAAGAGAGACAAATAGATGGTATGGAGAAAAAGAGAAAGAGAGAGATTGGGAAATATGGAGAGACAAAGATGAGATGGGAAAAGGAGAAACAGAGAAAAGAGCAAGATTGGGGAAAAGAGACAAATAGATGATATGGAGAAACAGAGAAAGCAAGATTGGGAAAAAGAGACAAATAGATGATATGGAGAAACAGAGAAAGAGTGATTGGGAAAGAGAGACAAATAGATGATATGGAGAAACAGAGAAAGATTGGGAAAGAGAGACAAATAGAGATTGGGAAAAGAGAGACAAATAGATGGTATGGAGAAACAGAAAGAGCAAGATTGGGAAAGAAAGAGAGGACAAACAGAATAGATGAAATGGGGAAAGAGAGAAAATAGAGAAAGGAGAAACAGAGAAAGGAGAAAAAAGAGACAAATAGATGATATGGAGAAACAGAGAAAGAAAGGAGATTGGGAAAGAGAGACAAATAGATGATATGGAGAAACAGAGAAAGAGCGAGATTGTGAAAAAGAGACAAATAGATGATATGGAGAAACAGAGAAAGAGCGAGATTGGGAAAGAGAGACAAATAGATGATATGGGAAACAGAGAAAGAGCAAGATTGTGAAAAAGAGAGACAAATAGATGATATGGAGAAACAGAGAAAAAACAGAGCGAGATTGGGAAAGAGAGACAAATAGATGATATGGAGAAACAGAGAGAAGAGCAAGATTGGGAAAGAGAGACAAATAGATGGATGGAGAAACAGAAAGAGCAAGAGATTGGGGAAAAGAGAGACAAATAGATGGTATGGAGAAACAGAGAAAGAGCGAGATTGGGAAAGACAAAAGATGGTAAGAAACATGATAGAGGAGAAAGAGAGACAAATAGAAGATATGGAGAAAGAGAAAGAGCAAATTGGGAGATGAGATGATAAGGGAGAAACAGAAAGAGAAATTGAGAAAGATTGGGAAAGAAATGAGACAAATAGATGGTATGGAGAAACAGAGAAAGAGCGAGATTGTGAAAGAGAGACAAATAGATGATATGGAGAAACAGAGAAAGAGCAGAGAAAGAGCAAGATTGGGAAAACAGAGACAAATAGATGGGATGGAGAAACAGAGAGAAAAGAGAAAGAGCGAGATTGGGAAAAGAGAGAGAAATAGATGATAAGGGAGAAACAGAGAAAGAGCAAGATTGGGAAAAGAGACAAATAGATGATATGGAGAAACAGAAAGAGAAAAAAGAGAGGACAAATAGATGATATGGAGAAACAGAGAAAAATAGATGATAAGGAGAAACAGAGAAAAAAAGAGATTGGGAAAAGAGACAAATAGATGATAAGGGAGAAACAGAGAAAGAGACAAATTAGGGGAAAACAGAGACAAATGAGATGGAGAAGGAGAAACAGAGAAAGAGCAAGATTGGGAAAGAGACAAATAGATGGTATGGAGAAACAGAGAAAGAGCGAGATTGGGAAAGAGAGACAAATAGATGATATGGAGAAACAGAGAAAGAGCAAGATTGGAAAAGAGACAAATAGATGATATGGAGAAACAGAGAAAGAGCGAGATTGGGAAAAAGAGACAAATAGATGATATGGAGAAATGAGAAAGAGCAAGATTGGGAAAGAAAAGAGACAAAAGAGCAAGATTGGGAAAGAGAGACAAATGGAGGAAAACAGAGAAAGAGCGAGATTGGAAAGAGAGACAAATAGATGGTAAGGGAGAAACAGAGAAAGAGAGATTGGAAAGAGAGACAAATAGATTAAGGGAAACAGAGAAAGAGAGATTGGGAAGAGAGACAAATAGATGATATGGAGAAACAGAGAAAGAGATTGGGAAAAGAGACAAATACATGGTATGGAGAAACAGAGAAAGAGAGATTGGGAAAAGAGACAACAGATGATATGGAGAAAAGAGAAAGAAGATTGGGAAAGAGAGACAAATAGATATGGGAGAAACAGAGAAAGAGCAAGATTGGGAAAGAGAGACAAATAGATGATATGGAGAAACAGAGAAAGAGCAAGATTGGGAAAGAGAGACAAATAGATGATAAGGAGAAACAGAGAGCAAATTGTGAAAAGAGAAAATGATGAAAAGAACAGAGAAATAGATGAGAGACAAATAGATGAAACAGAGAAACAGAGAAAGAAGATTGGGAAAGAGAGACAAATAGATGATAAGGGAGAAACAGAGAAAGAGATTGTGAAAAGAGACAACAGACGATTGGAGAAAAGAGACAATTGGAAAGAGACAAATAGATGATATGAAGAAACAGAGAAAGAGCAAGATTGGGAAAGAGAGAAAATAGATGATATGGAGAAACAGAGAAAGAGCAAGATTGGGAGAGAGACAAATAGATGGCAAGAGAAACAAATAGATTGGGAAAAGAAATAGATGATATGGAGAAACAGAAAAGAGCAAGATTGGGAAAGAGACAAATAGATGATATGGAGAAACAGAGAAAGAGCAAGATTGGGAAAAGAGACAAATAGATGATATGGAGAAACAGAGAAAGAGCAGATTGGGAAGAGAGACAAATGATTGGATATGGAGAAACAGAGAAAAGAGCAAATTGGGAAAGAGAGACAAATAGATGATAAGGGAGAAACAGAGAAAGAGCAAGATTGGGAAAGAGAAACAAATAGATGATTGGAGAAACAGAAAAGACAAGATTGGGATGATGATATGGAGAAACAGAGAAAAAGAGAGAAAGATTAGGAGAAAGAGAGACAAATAGATGGTAAAAAGAGACAAATAGAAACAGAAAAGAGATTGGGAAAGAGAGAAATAGATGATGTGGAGAAACAGAGAAAGAAGATTGGGAAAGAGACAAATAGATGATATGGAGAGAAACAGAGAAAAGAGCAAGATTAGAGAAAGAGAGAGACAAATAGATGATATGGAGAAACATTGAGAGAGACAAATAGAAAAGAAAAAAAAAATTGGGAAAAGAGAGACAAATAGATGATATGGAGAAACAGAGAAAGAGCAAGATTGGGAAAGAGAGACAAATAGATGGTATGGAGAAACAGAGAAAGAGCGAGATTGTGAAAAAGAGACAAATAGATGATATGGAGAAACAGAGAAAGAGCAAGATTGGGAAAGAGAGACAAATAGATGATATGGAGAAACAGAGAAAGAGCAAGATTGGGAAAGAGAGACAAATAGATGATATGGAGAAACAGAGAAAGAAAGCAAATAAAGAGAGACAAATAGAGGATATGGACAGAAACAGAGAAAAAGAGACGAGATTGGGAGAAACAGAAAAGAGAGACAAATAGATGATATGGAGAAACAGAGAAAGAGTGAGATTGGGGGAAAGAGAGACAAATAGATGATATGGAGAAACAGAGAAAGAGCAAGATTGGGAAAAGAAGACAAATAGATGATATGGAGAAACAGGAGAAAGATTGGAGAAAATAGATGATATGGAAAACAGAAAAGAGCAAGATTGAGAAAGAGACAAATAGATGGTATGGAGAAACAGAGAAAGATTGGGAAAGAGAGACAAAATAGATGATATGGAGAAAAATAGAAATTGAGGAAATAGACAAAGAAACAAGAAAGATGATAAAGGAGAAACAGAAAACAGAGAAAGAGATAGATAAAAAGACAAGATGATATGGAAAACAGAGAAAGAGATTGGAGATTGGGATGATAGAGAAACAGAGAAAAGGACAAGATTGGGAAAGGAGAGAAAAAAGAGCAAAAGATTGGGAAAGAGAGAGACAAATAGATGATATGGAGAAACAGAGAAAAGAAAGAGTGAGAGATTGGGGAAAAAGAGACAAATAGATGATATGGAGAAACAGAGAAAGAGCGAGATTGGGGAAAGAGAGACAAAAAGATGAAGAGCGGAGAAAGAGAGACAAAAGAGAAAGAAAGAGAAAAAAAAGAGAGAAATAGATGATATGGAGAAACAGAGAAAAGCGAGATGGGAAAGAGAGACAAATTGATATGGAGAAACAGAGAAAGAGCGATTGGAAAGAGAGACAAATAGATGATAAGGAGAAACAGAGAAAGAGCGAGATTGTGAAAAGAGACAAATAGATGATATGGAGAAACAGAGAAAGAGCAAGATTGGGAAAGAGAGAAAATAGATGATATGGAGAACAGAGAAAGAGCAAGATTGGGAAAGAGACAAATAGAGAAATGGAGAAACAGAGAAAAAGAGCGAATTGAGAAAAAGAGGAATAGATGATATGGAGAAACAGAGAAAGAGCAAGATTGGGAAAGAGAGAAAATAGATGAGGAGAAACAGAGAAAGAGCGAAATTGGGAAAAGAGACAAATAGATGATAAGGAGAAACAGAGAGAAGATTGGGAAAGAGAGACAAAAAAGAGAAACAAATAGATGATAGATGGAGAAACAGAGAAAGAGCAAAAGATTGTGAAAAAAAAAATAGAGATATGGAGAAACAGAAAAAGAGAGACAAAGAGATGATGGTATGGAGAAACAGAGAAAGAGCAAGATTGGGAAAATAGAGACAAATAGATGAAGATTGGGAAAAAGAAACAAAGAGATGGAAACAAGAAAGGGAGAAGAGAGAGAAATAATGGTATGGAGAAACAGAGAAAGAGCGAGATTGGGAAAAAGAGACAAATAGATGATAAACAGGAGAAATAGAGAAAGAGCAAGATTGGGAAAGAGAGACAAATAGATGATATGGAGAAACAGAGAAAGAGAGAGATTGGGGAAAGAGAGACAAATAGATGGAGAAACAGAGAGAAACAGAGAAAGAGAGACAAAGATGATATGGAGAAACAGAGAGACAAATAGACAAAAGATGATGGAGAAACAGAGAAAGAGAAGACAGAAAGAGAAGATGATAAGAGAAACAGAGAAAGAAAGGGAAAGAGACAAATAGATGATATGGAGAAACAGAGAAAGAGCAAGATTGGGAAAAAGAGAGACAAATAGATGGTATGGAGAAACAGAAAGAAAGAAAGGGAGAAGATTGGGAGAAAAAGAGAAAAAATAGAGATGATATGGAGAAACAGAGAAAGAGGAAAAGAGAGACTAATTGGTACCAAAACAGAGAAAGAGCAAAAAGATGATATGGAGAAACAGAGAAAGACAAGATTAAAAAGAGAGAAAATAGATGAGAGAGAAACAGATGAAATGGAGAGAGACAGATGAAAGAAACAGAGAAAGATTGGGAAAAAGAGACAAAATAGAGAGGAGAAACAAAAAGAGAAGATTGTGGAGAAAAAGAGAAAGGAGAACAGAGAAAGAGCGAAAAGAAAAGAGACAAATAGATGATATGAGAAACAGAGAAAGAGAGAAAAGAGAGACAATAGATAAAAACAGAAAGAGAGACAAATAGATGGTAAGGAGAAACAGAGAAAGAGAAGGAGATTGTGAAAGAGAGACAAAATAGATGATATGGGAAACAGAAAAATTGGGGAAAGAGAGATAAAAGATGGTAAGAGAGAAATAGAAAGAGCAAGATTGGGAAAGAGAGAAAAATAGATGGAGAGAAACAGAAAGAGAGAGAAAAAGATAAATAAGGAGAAACAGAGAAAGAGCGAGATTGGGAAAAAGAGACAAATAGATGATATGGAGAAACAGAGAAAGAGAGAGATTGGGAAAAGAGAGACAACAGATGATATGGAGAAACAGAGAAAGAGCAAGATTGGGAAAGAGAGAAATAGATGATATGGAGAAACAGAGAAAGAGCAAGATTGAAAAAGAGACAAATAGACGAAAGAGAAACAGAGAAAGACAAATAAATGATGATGGAGAAACAGAGAAAGAGCAAGATTGGGAAAAGAGAGACAAATAGATGATATGGAGAAACAGAGAAAGAGCAAGATTGGGAAAGAGAGACAAATAGATGGTATGGAGAAACAGAGAAAGAGCGAGATTGTGAAAAAGAGACAAATAGATGATATGGAGAAACAGAGAAAGAAAAAGATTGGGAAAGAGAGACAAAAACAGATGGTTATGGAGAAACAGAGAAAGAGAAGAGGGAAAGAGAGAAAAGAGGAGAAAAAAAGATGATATGGAGAAACAGAGAAAGAGAAGAGCAAGATTGGGAAAGAGAGACAAATAGGATGATAAGGAGAAACAGAGAAAAGAGAAAAGAGAGACAAGATTGGAGAAAAAGAAGACAAAAAGAGAGGAAATAGATGATATGGAGAAACAGAGAAAAAGCAAGATTGGGAAAGAGAGACAAATAGATGATATGGAGAAACAGAGAAAGAGCAAGATTGGGAAAGAGAGACAAATAGATGGTATGGAGAAACAGAGAAAGAGACAAGATTGGGAAAGAGAGACAAATAGATGATATGGAGAAACAGAGAAAAGATTGGGAAAGAGAGAAAATTGGGGAAAAGAGAGACAAATAGATGATATGGAGAAACAGAGAAAGAGCAAGATTGGGAAAGAGAGACAAATAGATGATATGGAGAAACAGAGAAAGAGCAGATTGGGAAAGGAGACAAAATAGATGATATGGAGAAACAGAGAAAGAGCAAGATTGGGAAAAGAGAGACAAAATAGATGATATGGAGAAACAGAGAAAGAGCAAGATTGGGAAAGAGAGATGGTATGGAGAAACAAAAAGAGCGAGATTGGGAAAAAAATGATGATGGAGAAACAGAGAAAGAGCAAGATTGGGAAAAAGAGAGAAACAAGAAAGATGAGATTGGAGAAAATAGATG